TTCTTCCCTAAGCCCACAACCAAACAAGGAACAGAAGTTAAGGCGGAAACACTAGTCCTAAGCCTGTTAAATCTTAATTATATATAAATATATATATAAAAATATATATTTTGTGAAAAGCAAAAATATAAAACAATTGAAGTAGTTTGAAACAATTTTAAATAGTTTGACATCATTTGAAAAAGTCTGAAACGTTTTGAAACAGTTTGAAATCATTTGAATGTTAACACAATATTCCTTGTGTTTTACTTGTATTCCCCCTAAAAACATTGAAAATAGTAAAAATGTAGGCGTATGAAGTCACCTCGAATGTATGTTATTGTTTGGATACGAAGTGGTAGCGATGATCCTCGGGTTAGAACTAGTGTGAGTAGTCGTATCCTAAAAATAATTATACGCGATGTTATAGTTAAATTATTAAGATATTAATTTAAATAATAAATTAAATAATAATTAACGCGTTAGACACACTTAATTATGTAAGAAATACTTACAAAAAGCGTTACGAATTTATTGAAAGTATTCTTCGCATTTTCGGTGCTCTTGGGTGTTTCAGTGTTCTTGGGTGAAAACTTGAAGATTTGATGATTGTTCTTGGTGAATTTATGAAGATCTGGATAAATATCTCTTGAAGATATGAAGGTTCTGTATGAGTTTTGAGAGTAAAATGGGAGTGTTTTCGGCCTAAAAGTTAAGAAATAAATTGAGTTTGTGGCTAAACATATATATATATATATATATATATATATATATATATATATATATATATATATATATAACAATGTGTTTTTGGCCTTAATGGACATTGGCTTTGAGATATCGGTCCTTAAAGGGCTTGGAAAGTTTATTTTGGTCTCAAAGGTGGTGATTTCGGCCATAGCAAACCGAAACCTAAAGTTCCTTTATTACACAACTGAAAACCACTTTGTACATTGATACTAAAAACTGAAATCAACTTGTTTCTAGATTCCTTTGACCGAAAACCCTATTTAGGGTATTACTTTATGGTTTTATGCTTTACCTTTTTTCAAATGTTGATTTGTACTAACCTAAATTAACTTAGGTTTCAATCCATGCTTAGTTACTAGCTTATAGACGTGCCCCTAAAGCTACAAGTGATACAATGCAACGAGGATTTTAATGTGGTTTTACTTATACTTGGTTAGGTTTTAGACTTTGTTGGGTCTAAAATTTCTCAGTTGTGATAGATTCTCTTCTGACAACATCAAGAGATATGCCATAATGCTTGTGTGGTTTCCCGTGAATTACAATTGAATACTTGTAAAGAAGTATCGAAGGGCCTCTTTTAATTATTATCGAAGGTAGGCTTTATTTTCAAACATCTTCGCAACTTAACATAAGACAAAAACAATGTAAGAAAATGCTTGAGTGATTAGTGTAATCAACATCAAGTAATCACTGGCAAGATTTTAAAGTAACAAAGGTTAAGTAAAAATGTTCAAACAAAAATCTCATATCATGAAAAAATAAAGACTGACATCTATTTGGGTAGAAATGACTCGGTATTGGTCAATTATTAATATCACTCAAAAAAATTAAAACGAGATTCTGAACATTATACAAATGGTACATTTAAACATCAAAGTTTCATCCGTCAATGTCTTTGTAAAATTCTAGAACAATAAATTGTTCATCGTAAATTACTTAAAATGTATTGTTTTGTGGGTCTCATTATCATCATGGTTAGAATGGTTTCAAGATCATAAACACAGATTTTTGGCAAACCGACATTCTAGTTGTTTCTAACTAGAAATGATAGTATGTGCGAAGAGTAAGAATAGTGAGATAAGAAGATGGACAACGAGTCTTTCACACACTTATGGTAGCAATATGTATG